ATGCAATTTTTTATCTCATGGCTTTCCAAATCAGTAATATTAGCTAAACCTCGAATAAAAATTGCATATGGATTTATATCTAAAATGCGTATTAATTTTTTAACAATTGATTGAGAAAGTTTATTGGATATTTTTAAATGATGTTCTATTTCATTTTCAGTATCATAAAAATAAAGTTGTAAATAAGAAGGGTTAGAATCGATAGGAAGAAGTTCATTTAGGTAATGATATATCTGTCATTGAATTCTAAAAGTATATATTCCTTTAGTTTTCTGGCATAAGTCTTTATCATTTAGGTAATGATATATAACTCTTTACACCGAATGAAGTAAAAAAGAATGACAATTATAACTTCGAATATAAGTTCTAAAGTTAACTGATTCGTCACATTTAGATGTAAATAGAAGATGTAATTCTGGAGGTATATCTTTAATTTTTAGTTTAATACTCCCATCACAACAGCAAAAATCTTTACTTTGTTTATGAAAATTTTTCGCTCCACAAAAATGACAAATTGTTGACACAGGTAACAAGTAAGATTTTGTTGGAATATATTGTAAAATATTGGAAGGATATTCTAACATTTGCAACTCAGGCAAAACAGAAAAACCTAGTTAAAAAACAAATAAACTATAATTATAAATTCCAGCAAAAGACAAAAATGCAACATACTAAAGCCAAAGCATAAGTCACCTCTTTCTTAAGAATTATCAACACTCATGCTTGACAAGCCGCCTAAAACATTGGACAATACAAAAAATTCTAAATAGATTGAATGGCAACAACTAATATAATTAAGTGAAAGTAGAAGTCAACACTTCTAGCTGACATATCACCCAAAAAATATAATTTATATATGACAAAAAATTAATGCACACACAAGAAATAGAAGCCAAGTAATATAATCAATTAATATAATAAAAGGAAAAAAACTAACAGGCTGCACCTGCATCTGAACTACCCTCTCTCGCTGTTTTTTTTCCTCTGAATATACAGTTGTTGTCAACGCACATTACACAATTCCCGTGCCTCAACATACAATTCTCTGCGTCTTGCATTAGAAGATTCCTTTGACCGAGCATAAATTGCTCGACAGTGTTTCTTTTCCAGCTCACAGCTTCCAATATCAGCATCCATAGCTAAATAGATAATTTGTACCTGAAATTTTAACAAGAATCAAATAATATTAATATAACATTGAAGAAAGCTATGTAAGTTTGGAAAGAGGAACAAAGCTAAGTTAGTTTGAAAAGATATTAAAGGAAAAAAAAAAGGACACGGCATATGGCGTGCCTCCGTGCGAGTTGCCTTCGTGCCACGCACGGAGGCACATGGGCGTGCCTCCGTGTACACACGGGCGTGGGTGCCTCCATGCACGGCACGGAGGCACATGGGCGTGCATCCGTGCGAGCGCTGAGGCATATGGGGCATGCCTCCTTGCGCCCACGGAGCACAGAGGCACATAGCACACACAGGCGCGCCTCCGTGCACACACAGTGCACCTCTGTGCACGCACGAAGAAACATGCTCACCTGAAAATTCAGTCAAATAGAAGAGGGTTGAATAATCAATGAATAGCTATAACTCAAGCCTGTATTCCAACTACCAAATGCTTAGTGACAACAGAGGATTGAAGAACAATCAACAGAAGAATGGCTATAACCCAAACCTATATTCCAACCACCAAATCTTCCTAAAATCTATTGGCATTGAAGAATGAATAGCCATAATCCAAACCTGTATTCCAGTGGTCAAATTCTTCTAAAATCTAATCACATCAACCGCAATTGAAAAAGCCCTGGTGGAAACGAAGGAGAGAGAAAATGGAGGAAAGGAAGGAGAACAGGAAGAGTGGAGATGAGGAGGAGTGGATGGTTACGTGACATAATGGAGAAGGAGGTTGTTGACTTTTTTCAGGATTTTCTTTCTTTTTTTTTTAAAAAAGGGGATTTTTGACGACGATGGGAAATTGTGACACGTGTGTGAGATTTACTTAGCCTCTTTTAATATATAGTGCTATTTATAAATTCTAGTCGTCGTTCATTTATAATATATATATATATGCTTGACCTACACGTAAATTAATGCATATTTGTTGGTAAAATTACCTTTATGCCATAGTTTTTTTTTTTTTGAAAGGTCAGGACCAAGTGGTAATTACAACTTTTAAATTTAACACTTTTTCCTCGTAAACGAATTTAAAAAACTTTATTTTGAATAATATTCTTTGAAGAATAAGTGGTTAGAAGTAGAAAAAAATTTGAATTTACATATAAAATATTTTATTATTTGAATGTGTGGTTAAAAATGAGTATGAAAAATAAATTAAAATAAAGTAAAAGATGAAGTAAAATGTTTCAATGGTTACTGAATTTTAACATGGTCACGACTTACTCACTGAACTTCAAATTGCCTCTTCATGGTCACTGAACTTTCTGCCGTTGCACCACATCCAACACTCACCAAATTTCGTTACCATCGAAGCTGATGTGATGGAAGAAAAACACACGTGGAAGATGACAACCGTTAAAAAATGACAACTCAGCGAAAACATTGTTTCATTACTCATCCAACTTACATTTTGTCACAGTTCACTCGTCGAACCTCCAAATGCTTCCCAATGGTCACTCATCTTTGAAATGTTGCACTCTATTCATCATCCGCATATTTTGT